GCATCAGTTGCAAAGAAGTTAAAGTCATTGGCAGTGGACTCGAGATAAAAGGTGTATCCGATATGTTATATAATTGTAACAAAGCAAGATTAACAGATTAAGTTGCTCCTAATGTTAAAAGTAGTACAGTATATCTTTATTCTAAAGCAGTCACAGGACAAATTAATATCCCAGTATCAGCGTCAGTTTTAATTAGGAGGTAAGAATAGATGATGCTTAAACCTTGTGTGAGCTTAGGCTTTATGAGGTACATCTTCCTACTCTCTTGTCTCTTCTTCTCGTGTGGTGCTATTTTTATATTCAATCTGCAGACTCTAAAGTTTAACAAGTTTTAATTTCGAAAGTTTCTCTGTTCAGCTCGGCCAAAGGAGAATTTATTAACCCTGAAGTGATGAGGGATATTCTCCATCAGAGTCTACTCAGCCTCTGTTAAGAGCTGGAAAACCTCCTCAAGCTAAGAAGAAAGAAAGAAAGCTGAGGGAAAGTTTATGGACCGATTCAGTTTGGTTTGGCCTCCGGGCAATTACAGCACAGAAAGACAGCAGGAAATATTCTTATGGGTGTTACTGCAAGAAGGCAACTCCACAAGGTTCTGCTTAATGAATGTGAACAAACTAATTAACAGTGAAACCCCAGTGTTTATGGTCCCTGAAAGGAAGCTCTTAACTTGCCCTCAGAACATCTGAATCCTTGGCCTTGGCAATGGCTTCTGTTTTTCTTTCACTATGAAAGAAAAATGAAGAAACTCACAAGGAATCAATCACGCCTTTTAAAGTCACCTCACAGTCTTTATCTCTGGATGGAGCAATGCGATCTCACAGAAATACTCAAAATGACCACGACCTCGAATACTCCATTTTGTGGTGGCAGCACAGTTTGGTTTAGTCACCAAAAACTACTAGATAAGGTATAGAAAAAGGTCATGTTTTCGGTTACAATAACTACCTTTCTTACATACAGGACATAAGCGTTAAGTGACGAAATGTGTCAAGTAACAAGAGGTAAATATGTAAAGATCTTAAGTAGCCTATGTTAAGTTGAAATAACTGACTTTTAGTTTCACTTGTGATATGAACTGTGGTCTCCCAGGTGAAAGTCCAGTGTTTGTTTGATTCGTCCACCACTCCCACCTTTTTCCTGTGCAGACTTTCTCGCTCTTCATCCTACCTGTGGGGTCTTAACCACTGTCCATTACGTGACGTTGTTGAACCTGAGACTTTGTGTGCCCACAATGACAATTGACTTTGCATTCGTACTGTTTCCACAGTGCTGGTACGTAATAGCATATGCCATCACCCTATGACGTTGCGGCTGATGCCATCCTCTGCTTGGAGGGTAAGGAGCTCCCAAATCTCATTGTTTTCCCAGTTTAAGGACATCTTCAGCTGTTCTTCTTCTTCTTTGAGTTAGCTGCTAGCTGCTACCAGCTACTTTTTTAAATCTCGGTGGGTTGCACGCATAACACGTCATCAAAACATCACACCTGGTGCCACCCATGATCCCATCTTGCCAGGTGTCCCGTTTATACAGACATTGTTGAAGTGCTGTAATACCTCTGTTCCTGGCCCGGATGTGAGACAACTCTTTCCCCACATTCAGGAATTGCACCTTTTATACAGAGCTGTAAGGTGGCATAATGGTGCGATATTCTCGCCTTAAACAGGCTGTGTAAATGTGCCGTCTGTCTATTAGACCAGGCCGGGATGGTGTTTGGTCATGATACTATATGGAAAGTTTTTTGTTTGTTTTTTTTCCAATGTCAAGAATGAAATTTGATGTTCAAGATATTTGATGACTTTATACATTCAGTGGTTGAGATTGAGATTTGTGAGAAAAAGTATTACACATATTCTACTGATTGGTTAGACAGTAAATTCACTGGCTGCATTTCATTTAGACCGGATGAACTTGTAACTCCAGACTAATGACCCCTTCATGTATCTGTATGTTTCTTATATTCTACACGTTACACTGACATGAAAAAGCCTTGAGATAATGAGCATTATGCGTGCTTAACATGCCAACATGTCGTGTGCTCAGCGCTCACAGGATTTAATGAAAAAATAGGAAACATCAACATTTCTGTTCATTAATTAACAGTCACCCAGCTCTGTATGACTAAGGACCGGGGCTTGTCCTGGTCTGTCAACACAGCAAGTTCCAACTGCAGCCAAGAACCTCAAGGTCATTGCTGTCTCATCAATTTCACGGCTGAAGCAGATGGCTGTGTCTTTGAGTGGTTCCTGCGGAGAGCCTGCGAGGCTTAGCATAGCAGACCGGGGCGCTAATAGTGGCAGGAAGTGTGCTGGACTTTGGGAGAGAGCGAGAGAGAGATAGAGAGCCAGGCGTATTTCAGATCTGCCCGGAGTAATCCAGAAGGTCCAGTTCTCATTAAAATCAATTTCCTTTCCTGCGAGGTGGAAATGAGCAGAGAGTGGTGGGTTCAGGTTTTGTCAGGCCACTGTTAGAGCGCTGGCTTGTTTCCAGCCACTGAGCTGGAAAGAAGAGTTAATTCCTCTGGAGTGAGAACACACAGCCAGAACGTCATGTAAAGGTAATGTTCAAAAGCACAGTGGGGGCAGCTCAACACGCAGGATGACGCTGAAGATTAATCTGTGCAACTTCCTGATTTGAACTACGGCCTTTCCAGTTATGAAGATTTACAGGATAATAACAGGACTTGTTTAAAGGCTTTACTGGTGTTAAACTGACGATGTTCTCGCTGCTCAGGGTGTAACGAGAACGTGTTCTGGTAACAGCTCTGCCATGTAACAGTAAAAGCAAAATGGAGCAATGCAGTTAAGATCTATTGTTTAACAAAGATATGAGCACACCTGGGTGTTTCTGTTTGTCCATGTCTGATTGACTTTTCCCATTATCATTTACAAAAGAATGCCTTATAATATTGTTCAACCATTTAAATAAAGCATCAAGGTCACAATAGAGGTAATAAGAGAGTCTGTGTTTCGAAGGACTGTTTTCCGAAGACGTGAATCTTTTCTTGAGTGTGTGACAGGAACTGACAAAACAAAATGTTTACTGTGAAGGACGATCCATCTCTCTCTGTAGATGTTGTTGTTTTCACGTTGTACAAGAATGAATGGCAGCAAATGGCTTCATCTGGGCGCTGACAGCTCCAACAGTATCAACGCTGTGCATGCACCAGCAGAGGTTTTCATTTAGTTTTTAACGCTTACTCATTTTGAAATTCTCTCTTGTCTACCTCATCTGCACATGGTTGATGGTTCATGTTATGGATTGACTGTGGCAGAGTATGTGCGGATAAGGCAGAGTCATGAATCACTTGCGACCCACAGCAAAGGTCGGATCCCTGGTGTTAACGTTCTGTTCCTTTGACTGCTGACTTTTTGTGTCAGCTTCTTTGTGTCCAGCCCATTGTCAAGGGGCATGACAAAGCATCTGAATTTGATGACATGGGAACGACAATGGGTCAGTATTTCTGTGCCACCTGGAATATGAGAGCCGTTTAATCAGGCACATAATAGGCACATTAACTCTGGAGATGTGTTGCTCAATATTAGGAGAATAAGAAAAAAATATTGTATTATAATAAATATTTCCACCAAACACTTTCTGTAAAGCACCCTTTGAACTGGTACATAACCCCTACAGGCTTGTACCTAAACCACAGATCTGTTTAGGATTTCTAACATGGACAATACTTTTAATGTAGACGTGTGTGTGGATTGTAACAGCTGCGTCATCTCACTGTATCTCCTCTTCACTGGCGATGTAAAGGAAGATTTGCATTTCACTGATCATCCGCAGATGATCAGTGAACCCACGATTTCAGATGGAAGAACAAACAGGCTAGATTGCTTAGAGTCTGTCACAATCCAAGGGACATTCAAAAATAGCAGGTTTCTGCATTGAGTCTTTGTAGAGCACGAGTGACGATTGTCTCTCAAGCAATCACCTGACTGCAGTGTCTCCAGTGTTTAATATCAGATCAGTGTGCGAGGTACCTCAACAGAGGGATAGAATGGTTCTATTGGTACCATCAAAAGCAACAGTTCTCTTGTGTAAAGAACTGAACCGAACTGAACCAGGCTGCTTTGTGGAAAATGAGGCTAATGAAGCGTGTTATTTCATGCCCAGAGCACACACCAGATGCTCTACACAGACAGAAGAAGAAGTCAAGATACAGTATGATGTCAGCGTCTGAGACAGCTTTGCCAGTGCCTGCGGGCTTTTTCATAAACCAGTCTTCATCTAGTAGCAAAAATTACTTTTTTGCATCTTTCTAGACTCTTTGACCATCCTCGACAAAATCCTATTTACATGAATTCTGACCCAGAGCAAGTAAGAGTCAGTGCATTGGTAGGAAATATCAAAGTCACTAGCATTAGAAGTAATCGAGTAAGCAGCACAGAAGTCAGGACATAATATCATGTATATTTTTGCTTGATCTCTTGTTCAGCATATCTAACAAGTACAAAGAGGAGATGTGATCAGTGGCAGACTGAGCCCCAGTGTCTGTTTATCATGGTCCTTTGAACAGCACTTGAAGCCTTTGTTCTCAGGTCTTGACCCACAGTCTGAGTGGACGCTTTGCATGCGGATGTAAATTCCTGTTGGAGATAGCAAAGGCCAAAGCGAGCGGCACAGAGGCAATCAAGAGAATTGCTAATAATTTATCGCAGTGTCTTTTATCTCAGGCTCTTGTTCGTGGCGCTCACCTCTTGTTCCAGCTATTGTCACACTTGACACAAAGACACTCTTGTCTTTGGTTCAGTAGAGGGCAGATTGTGCTGCTCTTGCACTGGCCTGAAAGAGGATTGAAACACAAGGCAATGTCTATTGAATTATCCAAATCTTAGATGTGCCACTGTGCACAGCAAATGCTTAGCAACAGCAGATTGCTGGGATCTATTATGTGCAATTACTGTCAATTGCCAGTGTCACTGGTTAAAAGATTTCTGCTTGACATTTGTTTTATTTCTCACTCTCCTCTCTCTTTCTGTCTCCGCTGACAACAGGGGCCACCAAAGACATGGGCAAGATGCTTGGTGGGGAGGAGGAGAAGGATCCCGATGCTGCGAAAAAAGAGGAAGAAAGACAAGAGGCGCTGAGGCAACAGGAGGAGGAGAGGAAGGCCAAATATGCAAAAATGGAAGCAGAGAGAGAAAACATCCGACAGGGCATCAGAGATAAGGTAAAAATACTGCATTGCATTCTTTGTTTCATGTTATTGAGGCATGTTTAATTTGTTTCCTGTTTCATTTTTTAGATTCTCTCTTCATGTGTCGTCTCGTGTCTCGTTAGTCCTTCCCTGTTCCCAAAGTCTTCCCTACACACCTGTTCTGTATTAGTCTTGTGTTCCCCACCACACCCTTGCTGTTAGCCAATCCAAATTTCCCTCCTTTTGTCTGTGTCCTCCTACTCCAGCTGTGTCCCGTTCTTTTGATTAGCTTTCTGTGTAAATATACACCTGTGTGTTTCCTTTTGTTCCTGTCAGTTCATCTTTGTTAATCCCAGTCCTCATGGTGTCATTTCCTGCTGGTCTGTTATGTTCAGTTTTGGATTTCTTCCCTGAGTTCATCCCTGTGTTTATCGTGCTTCCCCAGTTAGTTTCAGTTTAGTTTTAGGCCTCCTTTCTTTTGGAGTTTGTGTTTTGTTGCCTGCCTTTTTCAGGGCTTTTGTTTTTTTAAATCAGCATTAAAGCTCATTTTGTTTAACATTCAACCTCCTGCTCTGCATTTGGGTCCATCCTGAACTGATTCCTGACATACATGCCATACAACAACGCTACAAGAAATCTTGGCAATATTCATTCATGAAAAATATGTTAAGGACTGGTGAGAACCCGAAGGAACCCAAGTAGCAGGAGACAGGCGGAGTAAATATCACAATAATTTATTACAAAAACAGCAGCAAAAAACACAAAAACGGCTGCACGGAGAAGTGAGCTGCCTGGTGGTGGCAGGAGGCGAGAGCTCTGCAGAACAAAGGCGGCGAGGCACCAAACTGTGAATGACAGAGACAAAAAACACGAGTCAGTGGAGCTGGTCAAAAAGAGAAGCAGGCAAAATACTCACGAGGCGACAAAACTCAAGTAAGCGAAGCGCTACCGAACGAGACGGAATTATCTGGCACCGAAGTGAAGTCAGAGCCAGCTTTATAGTGAGGTAGATGAAGTGAAATGGAAACCAGGTGTGCCTCACCGCCCGTGGTAGAAAAGCAGGTCAGCCCCACCTCCGCCACACACCAGCCCTGCAGGTCATGGAAGGACAGGAGAACAAAAAAAAAGGAAACACAACACAGGAGCAGCCACAAAACATGTATAAAAAAACTCAACCCATAACAAAATAAAACTCACAACATACAAGTTAGTAAGTTACACAATATACAAGCATTCATGAAATCAGATGGACCAACTCTGCAAAGAGCTGCAGCAAAGTATCGGGAGCATCACGCTGCGTCATAGTCCTACATACTGATCCTTTTTTCCTTTATTACGTTAACAGCACTTGGAACAAATTATTTCTTGTAGATATTTCTATTAGCCATCAGCAATCTATAACACCTCCCTGAGGGTAAAAATATAAATTCACTGTGTGAGAAGGGTATTTAATAGTCCTGTTTGCTTTACTCATTGAGATTTCTTCATACATGCATGTCTTTGTGGCTTCCCTCTAATTCTGGAGGCCAAGTTCATCCCTCTCTGCAGCTTGTTTCTCTTCTCGATGTTCAGATTGCCACATGATCATGTTAAATTTAGGATGCTAGAAATAGTATTTGTTGTTGTCAGTGAAGATTCTCAGTCATCCAGGTCATGGTAATCGTAAGTGAGTATCGTAGGCAACTGGACTTGCTTGAGTTTCTTGAAGACTTTTCGCCTCTCATCCAAGAAGCTTCTTCAGTTCTCTCTATTTGTTGTTTCAACTATAAACCTAATTTCTAGGAGACAGGCTTGCTGAAAAACTCTCTCCGACGAAACTGTCAATCCAACCAGTATACCCACTTCACGCAGTGATTGGCAGAATTAGAACTTGTCTCTCAAGCTCTTCTTTCATTCTTCTCACACATACGTCCATCACTCTCCATGTTAAAACAGAGTGTAACACCACAAATGCATTTAAGGAGAAGCATTCTGAAAGTAGGCACCATTATCTCCATTTGTATGATTGATTGTGCCTGGCCTCCCTCTCTTTAATGGTAGGCTTTTTGCTCCACTGTTGAGTTTGACTTTTCAAGACACAATTTTTGCATCCAAACATCACAGTTTGACATTTTGTACAAACTGCTATATTAGTTTGAAGCATGCTGAACCATTAATGTTGCCTGGATTACCTTATCAACATTTTGCAGATACGTTTATATTAAACTTTTCTGCAAAACATCCATTTTTGATATTTCTCTCTACAATATCCAACTGTAACTGATTGAAGGATCAGTCCGTCCAAATTACAAGACATGTTTTTGCACAAAGGTTGAGTTTTTACCTCTGAGATTTTTGCCAGCACCGCAGTGCAATGGCAAGGGATTACATTTCAATTTCATTTCAAAGACAGCAACATGTCTATCCAGAGAGGGAATCGGAATTGCCTACAAGGTTTGGGGTCGTTACTAAAAAAAAAAAAAAGTAAAGAAGAAAACAAGAGCAGGAGAATCAAGATGCAGCATGCTGCAGTGTAACCACCTCAACATAAATCTAAATCAATATAGAAAAGAGGTTGGCCTTCCTAACACCACTAAGTACAAATGTTAATTGCCTCAGAATAATATATAAAGTATATTAAGGCCTAAATAAAACCTTTTACGAACTTACCCGAGATACTCACTCACCAAACTACGGCTTTATTGAAGACTAGTCCAGCTTATTCTGTGTTTCCGTCAGACCACCTGTTCCTCTTCATCAGAGTCGGCACAGACTGCACAGGCTGAGGAGCATCTCCACAGTCACGGTGGATGTTGCCGTTGTCAGCATGTTTGATTTATTTTTTTCTATCCACCCATTAAACAGATCATTAAAGAACGCATTTAATGCAAATTAATGACGTAATTGGTTGATGGCATGTGATAAGAAAACTGTAATGTCATTACTGAATTTAGAACAGTTACGCATTACATCACAGCATAACTGAGAAATTTAACGTGATTACAACCCTGCCTACCACATACTGAACTATACGTACTGCACACTGCCTGCTTAATGAATGATTAAGTATGCCATTACCAGCAGAGTGGTCACACCGAAGTCTACTCACATATAGCCAACACGTTTTCATCCCAAATCGGTGGCCACTTTGTCAGTGGGCTTTGACGTCAACATATTACATGCTACATACTTTCCTGCGTGTGTTGTCGATGTTCTGGGATGCTGCTATCGACAACAGAACATCGACAAAAGCACGTGGTTAGGTGTAGGCAACTAAAGCACATGGCAACTAACTTCAGGACGGCAACAAAAGACCATAGTTAGGTTTTTTGGCAACACAAGCACATGGTTAGATTTAGACAAAAAATATCATGGTTTGGCTCTACATTCATACAGGAAGTGAACAGCTGGCTCACAGGTGTAAGTCCACGGTTTGTTGGACCCATCCACCACAACTCGTCCCACCCTACAGGGACTTTCCAGCTGCTTATATTACATTGTTACTGGCAGTGTTTGAAACTGACGCCACCCTTAGTACCGCGGCAACAGATGCTGTCTGGCTGTGTTATGAACTGACGCCACCTGTCCGCATATCGTACTGCCACCACAGGTGCCATCAAGGCGACTAGCAGCGTATTATAACATTGCAAAAGGTTCTGTCTGGCCACATTACAAACTGATGCTGTCCAGTGGCATGTCTGGGAAAGGTGGCTTTTGGCATTGGTTTCTGCCACCAAAATCACAAAGAAAGCGACGGTGTGAGACGACTTTGGAACGAGAATGGGTTGGTATGACGTGACTGATGGCCGATCTGATCTGGCCAGTGACTTACACATCTCAGAAAATGTAGCTGCAAATTTACAAACACTTTATTGAGATAAACTTGGCACACATGGTAATCCAAATAGTTACTTTCTTGCCTTTGAAAACAAAATAAAAATGTAAAAATGTGACATTAACAGCTTTCAGCCTGGCCCAGAACCTTCACCCTTGTGCATATGGACAGTCTGAAGAGACAGTGAATTGTTGGGGAGTTAAGTATGTGTAATGAGCTCAAGTCTCATACTCAGAAATTCTTGCTAATGTAATATACATCCAGGCATTTGTCACGTACATTAAATCTACATACTACGCATCAGGGGCGATTGCTCTGAGACAACAAGGGAGGCTGAACTTCGAACGTCGATTGGCTATTGAAACAGGTGACGTGCTTTACGGTCTTAAATCAGTCTCTGCCAATTTGACCAGCTGACTTGCAGGTGACACCATCAGCCATCTTGAGTCGAGCTCAGACTGCCACTTTACACCGCTGCAACTTGTCTCTGCAACATTCTAAGATGGTTTCATCTCATTGTGAATCATTGATCTGAGCTGGGCTTTGGACCTCCTCCCTAAAAAGCCAAGTCTCCTCTGATTGGTCAGTGTTTCTAAGTCTAATGTAACGGAGTATTGTGGCACTTTATACCAGGAAAAATCACCAATAAACACTTTCTAACCAACAAGCATATTCCAGCAGGAATATGATCCGAAATTAGGGAGAAATTAACAACATCAGCAACCAAAATTATGTTTCCCAGGCATTAGAATGAAGCTACATGTAGTAATGCAGAGGCCCCAGAACAGAGCCATACCGCCAAATATAATACAGCAAAGTTTCCTTTGACTAAAGTGTTCCTGACTGAAATATATATATATATATATATATATATATATATGAGAGAAAATAAGGCAAAGCATAATAGGTCCCCTGTAAACATGTTGATAAAGTCAAACAACTGTTGACTTTATTATTTGATATTCAACATGGATAAAGTTTTCATTTATCCACCTTTACGTAAGACCTGAGTGAACCATAAGTCTCAGAAATGTTTCTGTCTGACTTTACGACATAAAAAAGCACAGGTGTGATTGGTTGATGGATATCTCCTCTGTATCTCCTCCTGCTGCCTTGTTTGTTCTCTGCTCTCCTTTGACGCCGCTCTGTTTTGTTCTCTTGCAATCTGTCTGAGTCGGTCTCTCTCTCCCTCTCAGACTTGTTCCACAGTAACAAAGGC